TAAACTAGGCTTCTTTGTTTTTTATTTTAATTGTATTATGCGATAATTCTGTATTTTAATTGGCACTTGGATATCAAGATGATAGACACCTTAAAATACAATGACAGAAGAATTTACAATGGAGAAAGACACTGTCAGCAATAGAGACAAAACTATTTTATCCATAACAGGTTAGGCACAACATGGGTAAGTACAATCCTGAAGAAAGCGAGATAATCCTACCCCTGTCATCGTTTAATGTCAAGCCATTATAATGGAAGAAGAAGGGAAATCAATGATATTATATTATATGATTTTTATACTCAATCATACAACTCATTCCTTTTACTTGAACCTCTGCACCATGTTTTCTCTAAACGCTTGCACCCACCAAATTTTTTGTGACGGTGTATTTCATATGGTCTATGTTGCAAAACCCCTTCTACACAGGTAACTCTTACATATATCCAGACAGTGATAGCAAACATACCATCAGCTTATTCTACGGAGTTCAAGGCACTGAAGCACTGATTCCCCTCACAGTTTTGCAATGTACGAGTAAACTACATTTCACTGGAACAAGGTGAGATTACATTTTCATTTTAAGTGCAAAGACCAAGGACTGAGGTTACGCCACCAGTGACATAAATTACTGGATATTAATAAAAGTGTGACTATTCAGATTCAAATGGAAATCAGCAACCCGGGAATTTTAATAACTTTTATTTTTTCACACATCTTAGAAAAGTGTTTCTAGTCAAATCATGAGCAGCTGGCACTGGAAATGCAAAGCTTCAGCCAGTTCCAAACTCTTTGCCTGGCTGACGAACTTTGAAAATATCAGCTCCCCTTTGGCCAAGAGCCAGAAACTCGACTTCCCCAGCCAAAAAGGCTTTCTTGCAGGGCCGGAAAATGTCAATGAACGTGCAGATGAGGACCTGGGCTCTCTTCCTACAGCCCTGTTTCCATTAGATGCCCTTTTCCTAATGCAGGGCAGAAGATGCAAGGGCAGCAGTGGAAGGGATCCCTCCGCAACCCAGGTTGTGTCCTAGGGATTGGACTAGAAAGCATCATGTCGGGGACTCCTCTCCTCCTGGTCCATGGTACAAAGGGAATGGGGCACGGAGAACCTCCAAGAGCCACTCCTTGCAGCTACCCACAGCCACTGTCACCCTAGTAAAACTAGGGTGGCATTTTCAAACTTTTATTTGCAATTGTAAGTGTCAGAAACTTTCACTAAAAAGTAAGCGGAGTGTCTAATGAAATCAAACAGTGCCATGAGCTGGAATCTAACCAAGAACATACATTGTCTATACTTACAGCTGCTTCCCTTTCAGTGAAAGCAATGAATTCTTCCACACTTACCAAAGCCTGCATTGCCCAGGGTTTAGTCACTATATCTTTCTGGTCCTACCACTAGCCTGTAGTAAGGAAATTCCTACCTGTTTTAATGCCTTGATACATTGGAACAGGAGACAAAGTCTTTTCCTGTGAAATGAATGTAGCCAGAATAGATATTCAAGCTGCAGCCTGAAACAATCCCTCCTGGCTGAGCAACCAAAAGGACTCTCAAACTCAGAGGATGAAGAGCTGCCAGGTGGC